GAAGTTCAGTCAGGCAGCTCCTTAGAAGAAAGGATGTTGAACTTTGTCTCACATACTTTGGCCATGTTATCAAGCGAGACCAGATCCTGGAGGAGGTCATCATGCTTAGTAGAGGGGTCAGCAAAAAAGAGAGAGCCATTCACTGTGATGGACTGACTCAGGGGCTGCAGCAATTGTGAGGCTGGTACAGGACCAGGTAGTGTCTTGTTCTGCTGGACACAGACAAGGTCCCTGAATTGGAACCGACCAGAGGACACATAACTGCGACAAAACTGAAACAAAGATTGCAGGGAATGAAATCGTAGGAGACCTGCAAGTTGCACATTTCTGTAATATTTAAGATTTTGGGATGTTTTTGTTGTTGCTCTTACAAGCACTTTATTTATTGGTGGAAAACAGAACAACAAGGAAAAAGAAAACCAGATGTAAATGATAAACATTCCAGAAATGTGTGGGTTTAGCCAGTAAATAATTACTAAAGGGCATGATACTACAAAAACATGTGACTCAACTTGCTAATCCCACTGGTTTTACAGCTCCTTACATGGAAAGTATGTGCAGCGTGTTCCAGCAAGGAATTCGGTAGCACAGCAGGCACATGTAGTCTTCTCAGGGAGTCCTGTTTCACACCTGGAGAAGACTGTTGGTTTGTCCAAATATAAATACTAACCATCTGATGAAGTATTGTTTGAGATTGGGAGCTTAATGTAATGTCAGCATATTCCCATTTATAACTTGAAAAACAAATACTTAATTAGAAACAGGCAATTCTATAGGCATTTCACCTGCATTCATTAATTGCCAAATGCACTTAAGCTGTCACATGTATGTCCACATCTGCCATCTTGCTCACAGACACTTATAAGGGAAGCCTGAAAAGTCTGGCACTTGAGGGGACTCCCGTGTTTTTCAGGGTCTCACACGTGGTTCCCATTGGGCAGGGCACGGCCCTGCCGCTTTCCTGTCCAACTCCTTCAGTGGAAAATATTTGAATTTTTTTCTTTTCTGACAAGTTCCAGCCTTATGCAGGCTCTGGCATTCATTGACCGTACTGCTTTGGTTTAGAAAGAAAAAGTGATTTGTGTAAAACATGGTAATTTGTAATTGTACTCCCCCGCTGTCCCCTCCCCCCCCACTCTAAAATGTAAGTGTAGCTGGGAAAGAAAGCATCACTATCAAACTTAATTTTATAACTAGAAGAGATGGGATTTTTTTTCACCAACTTTTTCACTTTACAGATTTTAAAATATATATTCTTTATTAAGTAAAGCCAGATTTTTAACTCAGACCCACAGACTCCTAATTCTAATTCTGAAAAGGGGCCCCTGCCCTTCAGCTGTTTCCCAGGCCCTGGTGCCGCCCGCTTCAGTGATCTGGAAAGGGGGCCCCTTGTTTTTGACCACATCCTCTTTACCATGCACGTTCTCCCTGCCCCTAGGGTTGCCGAGATTCCAGACTTGATCAACTGTTCATGACTTCATGTGGCTGCATGGCCAGTCATCTCAAAAGCTATTTTTTTCTAGTCTTAATGTAATTAATAATGCCTGGACTGTGAATAGATGCAAATAGTATAAGAATTCTAAAGGTTCCTGACCTTACTACTTATTCTAGAATCCCCTCGCCATTTGACCTGAATTTTGCCCAACCCTCACCTTAGATGAGTGGTTTTCAACCTTCCTAATGCCGCGACCCTTTAATACACCCCCCAACCAGAAAATTATTTTCGTTGCTACTTCAGAACTGTAATTTTGCTCCTGTTATGAATTGAGCGACCCTTGTGAAAGGGTCGTTCGACCCCCAGAGGGGTTGCGACCCACAGGTTGAGAACTGCTGCCTTAGATCATCATATTTTTGCTGCAGAATAAAGTCATCAAGCCAGGTTAGCTTTATACTGTGTAATTCCATCTAAGTTGTAACTTCAACTCTTAATAAAACGGATGATGTTAAAAACTTTTTTTCATGTCTTTTTCTAATCTTTCCAAATGCTCTAGTTGTTGATCCCATCTAGATTCCTACCCTTTGGCTTGAGATCTTGCCTTTTAATTAATTGACTCAGTTTTATTCTTTTAGACATTTTCCACCACAGACTGCTTTCTTAGGATTACAAGTGTTTTGAAGTTCACTTGATGCTGAAAGTATTTCATCACAGTTATTCTGCACAATATCTCCTTCATGCAGATCTGTGGAAAACATTTTCCTGGTCATTACTGCCAAGAAATGTTCTTCTGGAGCCAAGGGTTTGTTTTCGGTCTATGTATACAGTAAACACGGTGATTAATCATACTCCCCACCCAATTTTGGCTGCTAGAGAAGGCAGCAAATGTTACTGCCCACACCAGGAGCTACATATGAGCCTATGGCATTCAATTCTCTAATACTCTTTCTCTGAGCTTCATCTTTATATTCAAAATTCTGTTATTTTCTTCTTCTTGGCTTTCTTCATCTACTGTTTTCCCCATTTGAGTTAGTTAATTGTGCCAACCTGGCCGATAATCACATGTGGGGCTAATTGAAAGGCAGAGGGATAAATGGGTGGTGAGCCTCGCCTTTCTAGTTCTCGGGTCTCTTGCTTTGTGATGGTCGCACCAGGGTGCAGTTGCCTTAGCAGTTCCCTGCTTCAGCTTGCAAGATTAACTTCCTACAAGAAATCCCCAAGGAGAAGCCACATGGACCTATCCCGATGCAGCCCTGGGTGCTGGAGCACCCCTGCTAGTGCTGAGATGCTTGTTCGTTCACTGACTCAGCTTTCCTCCTGCAGTCAGGATCATTGCCTCTGTTTTGTGAGGTGGAGGACTTTGTGGACTGGTGTTGGGTTAATGGGTTAATGTTGGACTTGTGGGCTTGGGCAGCATTGGGTTGGGATGTTTTCATGATGCACACTTTCTTTACATAAAACTCACATGAGTTGCTGTGGATTTGTTTCTCTAAAGTACCTAGACTAATACACCATTGGATTGCATGGGCTTTTATTCTGTAATGTATTAATAAAATGTAAGAACTCAAAAAGTGTATCTAGAAAAACACACCTTTCTCTGTGGAAGATTGGCAACAGACTAGAAAGCTTTCTATGCTGCTGAGGTTTCAGAAAAACTATCAGAAATCACTTTGTTTTAATAAGCTCTTCAGCAACTAGTAAAATGGTTCATCTCAACCACTAGAACTTATGTGTGATCTTTTTATAAGACAAGAATTTAATAAATTAACAAACAGACCACTGAACCAAACCCACTGATGTCAGGTCACTTCTGACTCATAGTGACCCTGTAGGCCAGAGTAGAATTACTTCACATGGGTTTCAATGCTATAAATCTTTAAGAAGGAAAACTGTCATGACTTTCTCCTGAAGAGTGAGTGACTGGTGAATTTGAACTGCTGGCCTGTGGGTTTGCAGGCCAACGCTTAACTATTCCAAACACTACACCAGTACTTCTTAACACTCACATCAGAATTTAATAAACAATTGCTAGCTGGTTTATGCTAATTAATTATCAACACATAACCATACATCACCTCCAGGGGGATGAACCACAGAAACCATTGGGGGAAGGGTGACAGTGGTCGGTGTAAGATATGAAAATAATTCATAATTTATCAAGGGGTGACAAGGGCAGGGGAAGGGAGGGAAGAAAGTGGAGCTGATACCAAGGGCTCAAAAGAAAGTAAATGTCTAGAAAGAATGATGGCAACATATGGACAAATATGCTTGAGACAATTGATATATGGATTGTAATAAGAGATATAAGAGCCCCCAATAAAATGATTTTTAAAAATAAATATATATATATTAAAATATCAATAAATTTCCTTAAAATGATTTTTAAAAAAGGTATATCATCTTCTTTGAGTACAGGAGCATAAATTAACAACTAGGATGATATCAGAGTGGAAAAAAATAGTTAGCCTAGCTAGTATAGTAATTTATGGGTTAAAAGCATATCCCTTTTTAAAGAGAAATCTGTTCCCATTTTCCATGTACTTTAAAATGGTGGTGTTCAATTTTAGCAGTGGGCTAACAGGGCATCCTCAATGACCCCTGCACCCTGCAGTCTATTCAAAATTAGTAGCTGAAGTAACCCAGTTAAAACATGAATTGTACCATATATGTCACACAAAACCCTCCAGGGAGGCTCTCCTGCCTCAGTCCCTCGGTGTAATCACAGCCATGGCCCTCATCACATCAATGTCCTTTCAACTGACCATTCATAACCTTCCCTTCAAATAGAAATTGTATCGTACTACACATATTTGACACATTGCCTTTTTCCCTTTGTATTTACAGTTGAATGTCCCACCTCTTCACATAAAGATATTGATCCTCTGGATATGTGTTGTTACAGACTACAATCACACAAGTCTTTTATGTTATTGGCTCAAATCATACAATGATTATTTTTCCTATTTGTTCCTATATCGTGGTGAATTTTGTATCCATAAAGCAATTTTTAATCTATAATAATTACATCCTTATGCCAACAACATGAAATATCTTGCTTAAAAACCACTATTGCCTTATTATTGCTAGTCACTGTCAAGCAGACTCCGATTCACGGTGACCTTACATATCACAGAATGAAATGCTACCTGGTTTTGGACCATTTTTATGATCGTTGGCATACTATCACCATAACACTATAAGATTTATTATGTTGATAGATCCATGACCAGAGACAGCTGATAGTTATTCACAGATTCTGGAAGTAAAAGTAATTAGTCATGAAAACTTTTTCACGATCACAATTCCACCCGGCTGAGAAGTTTCTCATGCTTTTACCTCCGCTCAGTAGTAGAGATAACAAAAGATGAGCATCAGTAATGGAGTCAGAGGACTTGGCTGTATTTAATTTTACCAACTAGCTATTTGATAGGTGAGAAGTACCACCGTGGGTAAAGACGGGGCATGTGATGCAAAACATCATTTAGAGTGTGTCTCGTTTCAGCTATTTCTTATTTTCACTGGTTTGGATTCTCACGTGTGGAAACCGCATTATGCTTTATTACAGTCGCGAGTTATTGCAGTACTGGACTGGGAACTTTCAACCATTGGTCATCCTTTGGCTGACTTAGCCCACCTTTCTCTGTTTTACCTTTGGCCGAAGACAGTTCCAATGATAAACCATGGATCTTATTTTCAAGAAAACATAGGTAGGAAAAGAAAATGTCGAGTCCAATGTTAATATAAGATTATCTTTCTTATTCTTCATAGTTTAAAAACTTTAGGAATATCTTACTCTTTTAGGTGAATAGCTTTCTTATTCTTGGGAATATTTTGAAATTGTTTTATGTATACTGATTTTTTTGAATGTAACATTGCACTTTTAATAATTTTTCTGACAAATGTTGATACTGTGTATATATAATTTTCTCTTGGGAGTCAAAATTTAGAATCATTTGTTGCCTGGATCTATAGTCATAATACTCTGCTTTTAATGTATCTGCACTATTATGACATTTTGAAATATTCACCATGGTATGTTTTTAGTTCAAGCATAGATTATGTGCTGTTTTCACAGGGATACCATCAATGGAAGAACTGATCTCAATATATTGCCACCACAGGGGAATTAATTCTACTCTTCCTAACTGGAACTTCTTTTTGGCCCTCTCATATTTTAAAATGGCTGGAATAGCACAGGTAAGAAAGAGTTAACAATCTTATTTAATGATCCTGACCTCAGACTGTAAAGCCATTGATTGACCAGAGCTGCTGATGCGGGAAGAGTTATCTTTGTAGTTGCTAGGGCCCAGCACAGAACTTGGCATATACCAAAAGCAAAACAACTACTACTGTCGAGTCCATTCTAACCCTCAGCACCCCTGCAGAGGACAGAGTAGAACCACCCCATAAGATTCCCAGCGCTTATATCACTAGACATCTTTCCCCTGTGGAGAGATTGGTGGGATCAAACCGCCCACCTTTCTGGTAGCAACTGAGCTCTTAACCACTGCATTCCTGCACCATCAGGGTTCCTCCTTAGCAATACAGAAGCCTCTTAATATATATTTTTAGTTAATATATAAGTGAAGTTTTCTGTTATCCAATTGGGTCATATTTTTGTGGCTAATTTTGAAAGGAAACAGCATAACTTCAAATTTTAAAGATTATATTTTAATTTAAATTTGTGTAGCATTCTTTGTTAGACGAATTTTTTACATCCATTTTCTAGGAACTTTAAATTTCAGGGATTAATTTAATAAATTGAAATGCCTCATAAGCATAAGTGAAAAGGAGCTAAGGTTTAATGGAGGAGAGGTCAATACAAAAGTTTAGAAGCAAAAAAGAAGGGCAAAGAAGGATTAAGGAAAATTGTAGTTATTTTTCCAGTCCTGATTCCTGCTTCTCACAGCAACTGGAATGTCTTCTAGAAAATGGTTGTGTTGCATCTTTCCGCCTCCCGGAAGGGTTCAGCATGTGAAGCAAGGCGGGTTCCCAAAACAGGCCAGGGAGTGCCTCTCGGTGTCTGTCAGTTTCTACAGTTCAGACCCCAAGTGGGCTTTGAATTTCAAATGGCTTTACATTTCCAATAGATGTTTGGCATGGGTTGTGATTGTAGTTAATATATACATGGTAAACTATGCAGGGGGAGCCTTAGAGACAGATGATCATGAGCTTTCCATGCCAATGTCAATGTGAAACTGGAAATAATGGAAAACTTTGCAGTGCTTTATAGCCTAAAGAATTAGGTATAAAAAGAAGATGAAGTAATGGAATTGAGTTTGTGGTTTCTGGTTT